GGGACCATATCATTCAGTCCACTGTTCATTTCTCGGCTCGAACTCTCTTAAAAAAAAAAAAACCCACATTATCCTGGGGTTTCCATCTCACTCCTGTACCCCCCACCCCCACCCCCTAAAAGTGGCAATACAGACCTGTAGCACAATGTACCGATGGCTCTGGCATTCTTTGAACTCGGCCATGGCGTTGATCAGCGGGTTACACATCTGGATGGTGGTGTTGATGGCTTGCGCTGGGGTCAACGGGGTTCTGGGGAACGTGCACAACAGGAGTTGAGGTTCACATACGGCACACAAAAAAAAAAGATACCAGTGTTTGTGGTGTAGCGATTAGGCACTTCACTTTCAAACACAGGAGACCGAGTTCGATTCCTGAGTGAGAAAAATTAAAAATTTTTATTGAGCATCTGTCTCAGTGTTTCTGCTGGGATGTTGTGTCCCTCTCAGCCCAGGTCGGCCCCGACAGGCAGGGTCAGAAGGCTGCTTTCTAAATAATCTTTTTTAAAAAAATGAACACACAGAAATGTAATTTAATTTTTTTATAATTTTTTTTAATAGTAGAGAGTTTTACGGCGCTCGCAACTGCATAAGGTCATATGAGCGCCACACAGAAATATAATGTCTAAACTTATTTCTTGGTTGAATACTTCTAGTACCATTATTTTTAAAATGTTTCTGTTTAGTTGAGTCACAGATTTTATGTTGTAAGAGTTATTTTTTCTTCTATGAGGTTGATTACAGTATTTCTACTGGGTCCATTTTTCTAAAACTATTTACATATATTCTTTTTATATTTACCAGTCACTGCCTATATCAATGCATAAATGTATTTATACTTTAATATACATAATTAGTCTCATTTTATGCGCCCTTGTTCGTGAATTCTGCATACATTCTAAAGCCATAGTAGCTACTAATAATGTCTTTGAAAGCACATTAAGCATTTTAAATCATGGAAATGCGTTATATAAACACCTTGTATCATTACCATTTCTCACAAAATCCAATCTTACACAGTAGTCTCTGCCGGGGGATTACGGTCTTTCTATCACTCACCCATTGCTGCTGACCATCGGGTCCGTGCGGCCGAGCATGTGGTCCATCTCGGCAATCAGGTGGACGATCTTTTTCCCACAGAAATGGGCCAGCCGACGGGCTAGTATCACAGACTTGCAAATGTCAGAAGAATACTAAGGGAAAAAAAAGATAAAATAATGCTTCAAGATGTAAAATGAATACTATGGAAAAGTTTGACGATTTTTTTTTTTTACGTTGAAGTCAGAAGAACATAAAGGAAAAAAAAGTCAGAAGAGTACTAAGAAAAAACTGTTGTTGTCAGAAGAGTAGGCTACTAAGAAGAGTACCATGGAAAAAAAAAAGTGTCAGAAGAGAACTAACAAAAATAAAACATCAGATCAATACTACGAAAAAAAAAGTTTACAGATGTCATATGAGTACAAAGAAAAAAAATGTTGATGTCAGAAGAGTATTAAGAAAAAAATGCAGATGTCAGAAGGGTACCAAGGAAAAAAATGTACAATGTCAAATGAATATGAAAAATTGTCCTTATCTCTCCCCTTTCTTTTCTTTGTATGTTACTCTCTAGTAACACCTCCAACCTTTGAAACTTAATACTAAAAATAGCTCAAATTTTATACAAAGAGCTTGATGCAAATAGAGAAGAACCACCATCAGCTCAGTGATGCTACAATTAATAATGTTTGTGGATTTTTTTTTAGATCCTCATCAACACAATCTACATCATTAAGGAGGTACAATTCTGACCCTGTTGAGCGGGATACAACATCTCAGCAGAAAGACCAAGATACTCTATAAAAATTTCTCTTCATTCCGAAACCAAACTCGGGTCTCCTGCCAAGTGTTCTAGGGTCTACTCGGGTACTAATATAGACTGTAAAGCCCTTAGCACTTGCTATTGAGCGGAGATATACGCTATATAAATGCAACATATCCTTAGCATTACTCAAAACCACGTGGAACCTGCAGGAGAGTCACATAAATTGATGGACTGAAAAGTGGGAAGACGTGGAATAACATCAACAGGCTAGCCCAGGATAGGGAAAGGTGGAAAGTGTTTGTTTGTGGCCTATACCCTGATCCAGGGTGAGAAAGGCAATGATGAGGATGACGAGTATTATTACTTACTGTATTTAACTGGGCCAGAATAAGCTTGAGCACCACATCGTCCACTTGCTTCATCTTGTCGGGAAGCTCGATAATCCAGCTGAGGAACTCGTGACGATCAAACAGACCCTCCTGAAATAGAGCAAGGGGGGTGGGGGGGAGACAAGATGTTATTCTGCAGGTACTTTCCTTGCTGCATCTCTCTTCTGTTCACTTGTTGTCTCTTCTATCACTACCTTTGTGAGTTTCTCTCGATGTGTTGTGTAACTGTGCTGTGTCGTTCAGCATGTCATGTAGATGTGCTGCGTTGCTCAGTGTATTGTGTAGCTGTGATATGTCTCACAGTGTGTCGTGTAGCTGTGCTGTGTCGTTCAACATGTCGAGTAGCTGCACTGTTGCTCTGTGTGTTATGTAGCTGTGTGTGTCCTGTGTTTGTTCACCTACATATTATTGCCAGTCACTGCCTACCACTTGTACTTGTCAGATGTTTTGTGTTTAAGATAGCCAAGCTTTGGAGTACGGCTCATTCGCTATACTTCATGACAGTCACTTCAAGTTTAAACATATACAGACGAATTTGCTGTAACGGCGACCATCATCTGTATAACTTCATTCATTTTTTAAGCTAGCTTTCTAAAATAGAACAACACAAAGCTCTACATGCAAGATGAAATGACCCGTAAAAACAAATCTTACACGAGCATGAGCAATATTTACTATAGGGTACATTGTCAAGGCCTTCTTATAACCCTCAAGGCTCAAACCACAGCTGTCGGTGATTAGAGATATGTTCTACAGTGGAACGAATGTGGCATCAGTGACCTAGTGGTTAGGCTGTCAAACGCTCAACCATAAGGTCCTGGGCTCAAATCTTGTCAGTGGCTCAGCGTTGTGTTCTTGGGAAAGTGTATGTTGGTAGTCTAATGAGGAAAAATGGAAAGTGTTTGTCAGTGTCATGTACCCTTTTTCAGGGTGAGAAAGACAATGATGATTAACACCCCGCCCCCTGCACACACAACCGGCCACACAAACTCACCTCATACATGTGGTTGGCAAAGCGAGTGCAATAGTTCCAGTTCTTCATGGCCAGATCTAGATCCACCTGGGAGGGGTTGGGAGCCTGGGCCAACAAGAAAGGCGTGGCCTGGGGCGTGCTGGTTCCGTGGTAGAAGTCCTGGATCTTCTGTAGCTGGTCTTTCAGGTATTTGGTCAGCGCCTGGGTCCAGTCTGAACACGACATAAGTTTATGAGATGCTCAGAAAACAGAGATAAAGGCACAGCTGCCAATTTTTCAAAACCAAAACAGACTACTAGCCATGCGGTAAGTCAAGAAGGGGGGAACTGCACCACAAAAAAATACAATAAAGAAACTACTTACAATTAGCAGCCCCAATAAATAAATAAATTAAATAAATAGATAGATAAACAAATAAATGAGTAAATAAATAAATAAATAAAAGAAACAAACCTCTCTTCAGTTACATCAATGCCTTACAACGTTACTTTAATAATATTCACAAACTACAGCACAAAATCATCCCAGCAGAAATGACCGGGGGAGGGAGGAGATAAAAAGAGAGAGAGAGAAATAGACAACATAAACACAATTCACCCCAAACAAATCACAGATACACAAACAACAAACTGCTACAAACCCATAGACTGGTCCACCGCCAGCTTCCGGCGGTTGCGGGAATCCTGAGTGCCCATATTGTGCGCAGCCGTCATCTTGATGAACCAAGCAGCTCTGACGTGTGGCACCGCGTTCTCGCACAGGGTGGAGAAAATCTCCTCCTTCTTGTTGAAGGTCGGCACCTGTGGGAAGACACAATGATACTGTGTTCTAACCAGACAAAATCAGTCGTATGTTGCACACGCTAGATTTAAAATTTCAGCCAAAACCTTGATTCCCTCCAAGACCGTGTTTTTAAATTCAAAACTTCTCAAGAAACAAAATATTGAAGAAAAAAAGACAAGTGTTCACTCAATCTTTACATAAATATCATGCTCTCAAAAAGAGTTTTGTAGGGAGCATGTCAATTTTTTACTGCACATCATTTAGAACCAGCATTTCTCAAAGTAACAGAACAAGTAAACTAAAATCTTTCAACCAAAATAAATACAGTACTTTTCTTAAGACACTGATAAGATTATCAGAGAAAGTATAGTCATCCCCATCGGAGAAAGAAGAAAATAATTTGAAGTGCAGTCAAACCTACTCTAATGGCCAATTGTACAAGACAATCACCTGTACAAACAGCCCCTTCACACCTGTACAAACAGCCACTTCACACCTGTACAAACAGCCACTTCACATTTCCCCCCCTGCATTGTTTTATATTTTAATGACACTTTGTCAGCAGTCCACTTTTCTCCTCAATGATGGGTAGCCAATGGAGACAAATTCAACAGTATCAAAATTACTTAATTCCGTTTTAGATTACAGAAAGTCCAACAGGTAATATCATTATCATCAAACACTGATAAAACAGGTTGTTTGACATGCAATCCCATTAACCCATGCCCCAAACAAAATAAGAACATTTTAGAACTAAAACATTGTCCCTGAGTACATGTCAATAATAACTTCCACTCTCCTTTACAAGAAAAGACATCCAACAAAAAAAAAGTTTGCCTATCCTTACCTTCTTGCTGAGGGAAGCCAAAGGTTTGTTGCCAGCCAAGTCTCTGAACCATGCCTCTGTGGAGACTTTACTGCAGGCAGCCTGTGAAAATGGTAACATATCTGTATGTCCTTCATTCCTTAATTACTTGTCCCTTCCTTAAGTATAATTCGTTGAATACCTCTGTGCTTTTAAAAACATTGTCTACGGCCATTCCGTCTCTGACAAAACCAGAAATAAACACATGATGTGAACCGCAGCATCATACCCTACGTAAACCGAGAATGTGTTTGGGGTTTTTTGTAAAGTGTTTTACAGCGCTCGCAACTGCATAAGGTCATATGAGCGCGCGGGACACACCTAATATTTTCAGTTGGTAGGAAATTTTGAATTTTGCCCGGGTGGCGGCCGAAGCCTACTTTTATCGATTTTAGACCACCAAGGAATCTTTAACGTGCGCAACTTGCACACGGGCCCTCCGAGATTTTTCGCCCTTGTCCGAGAAGGCTAGGTGTAGATCTTTCCTACCAGAAGATCAGGGGTGTGGCAGAAAGACAGCAGTAAGGAGGAGCCAAGGAGTAGCAGTAGAAAGGCTGCAGAAAGAGTCAGGAGCCCAGAGGAGGGGGCAAAGGAGGTGAGGGGGTGGGGTGGGGGGCAGAAAGTGGAAATGAAAGCAGACAACAGAACATTACTAGAGAGCAGGAAATGAGGTGAAAGGAGACAATTTTAGAGAAGAAAATTTTTCGGTCGTTACCCGGATTCGAACCCGGGACCTTTGAATGAGAGGCCAACACCTTAACCTCTAGGCCACGAGAGCCCCCTGAGAATGTGTGGTGAACTAACAAAGCTTAACACAAAACAACACCTAATGGCAGGTGTTTGCATATCACTTGGAACAGCATTACCAGAGAATGAACTCACTGAATGAAGTGCTATTGACTTCAATTGGGTTCTGCCCCTTTCACTTGTGTTCTAAAACAGGCTATCCAACAAACATTCGCGATAAACAAGCAAAACTTACAAAAACTTAAACCATAAGAGACACAATGATAAATGCAGTAAAACAGAACTCAAAACTTGAAATACAAGCTTTTAAAAAGAAAAAACCTTAACCGGTAAGACAATGAAGACATAATTTTTTTTTAATGTAGGCCTTCCAACTTTTTTCAAACCCCAATCAAGGACACCCGTTGCTATGACATCAGATTATGTTACAATGAACAAAATTACATCAGGTGGGACAGGTTTTTCGTGCCGTGTATGTTACGTCTTCTCAGATTCCCGATTGCCAAAAGTGGAACAGTCCTGGGATATTCGGGACAGTTGGCAAACCTGTAAATATCCAACATGTGGGTGTGAAGGGGAACATTTTTCCCCAAAACTTACAGGCCAGAAGTTGTCCTTGACAGGCAACTGAAACTTTTTGTTCTTGCTGTCCTGTAGTGTGTTCTGGTCTGTCCTTTTCTTGAACAAGTTGTTGTAAAATGTACTACACTGAAAAGACAACCAAAGCATTGTGTTAAAAATTTCTAGAAAATTGAAGGATAACTGCAAAGCATGGACTGCGAAAAGAACTATGAATCTATACTCGGAGACAATTGACTACACAAATACATTTATGTACACATCAAATCAACTGCTGGGAAAATTTTTGAAAAAAAAAAACAAATCAAAATTCAACCAACTCTCTCCCAGAAAAATTTTCTGACGATCTCTTCAGTTCTCAAAAACAATGTTCACTCAACCAGGTCTAGGTGAGCCATACTTCACAAAAAGACTTTTTGTTCAACTATAAAAACACAAAAAAGGGCACCTTTTCATCATCTGAACAGTCTCTTACATAATTAATAAATCCTGGTGCTGGTATATATGAAAAGGCAGAAGGTAGGGAACTTAATGTCACAAGAGGCATTATAACAGACAACTGAGAACATTCAACAAACCTTCTCTAAAGTGATGTCGAGTCCTTTTTCTGATCCACACTGAAAAAGAAATAAAGAAGAATGCTCTATGGGGATTGTTGGCATATAATTATAAACATGTATTATATATTGTAACTGCATGCAATAAAAATGTTCAAGTCATTTCAAGGAAATATTGCAATACAACCACAACTATTGACTTTAACATTATACCTCATCAGATACGATTGTGCCCAGCTGAAATCCTTGCTTGACATTCTGCTGATTCAGTTCATCCTGTGAGGAAGGAAAATTCAATGATTGAAGATAAGTGCATGTAATATTGCATCAATTTTACAATTAGCATTAAACATTCCAATGAATAAAGTTGGCTACACATTATTTTCAAAATTGAAATTAATGATGAATAACCTTTCAAATTGTATAATACATTAAAAAATTAAACCAAACTTTTCTAATCATTTAAAAGATCACTTCATTCATAACTGATTTTTGGGCGCTTTGAGTTTGAAGTACAACGGACAGGACGAACAAATAAGACTCAAAATCACGCATCCGTCGAACTGTGCCTGTGGTCCCGGTTTTTTTTCTTTTCTCTTTATCTTCATAAGATATCCCTTGAACTACGGATCCCTAAAATTACCAAGGCTGGTTCCGACGAATTCGAGCTATCCCCGTGTTATACTATGTTATTTTTTTGTTGCAAAATGAAGATGCTACATGTAGAAACAAAGTTGAGTGACAATTAGCAGGCTACTTTTATCCTACTCCTTCATCAAACAAGACACTTTTATCAAATTAAATATAGTTATAGTGATAGTTTCATCAACATCAGTATTTTCATTCACTCTACTATGCACATTACTCTTTTTCTTTAAATATCAAGTAAACTGACATCCTCCAAAAGTAAGTCACGGATTTAAGGAGCAAGTCATCTCTGAGTGACGTGGTGACAATTGACGTGGCGTCAATTGCCACTGAGTAAATTAGAGCTCTTTGCGTTGGTGAGTAGATCTAGCCTATCTCGAGTACTCGGTGTCCTGTGTTCGTGAACTTCCGCTTACGCACGTCTCTTCTCCGCGTGTGTGTCTCTTTCCTTAATCCCCGTCCCCCGGATTTATGTTCCCCGATATAAAATGAATTCTGCGCTTGAGTTTGTGTGCGTTGTGACCTACTTCTAGAATCGCCTGTGTTGGTTCTAAACATGGAGTGCAGGCTAAGATTACTAAGTAGGCTAGCCAAGGCCTATGTCTAATTCAAAACCTGCCAAGTTGGCAGCTCTAAATGTTCGTCCAATGAAATAAGTAGAGAACAAATTGACCCACTTAGACTCAAAAGGATAGCCGGAAACAAATTAAGTTGATAGATAAATACTAGATTCTAGTATTAAGAATATGGTACCATTGTCACTTGTGCAGGTAAAAAGAAGAATTTGAGTGCAAAACAAGTATGACTTATCAACTTATTCATGTGTTCATAACACATTATGAATGATTATGAATAGAAAGTAGAAAACTAAAGATAGAGCGTTGTTTTCCGACTTCACACCGCTTCACTCGGTGGCAATTGAAGCTGCTGTTAATAATAATAAGGTAGTGTCAATTGCCACCAAGTGATGCGGTGGCAATTGACAAAAATTGACTTTTTGTCAATTGCCACAGAGTAAATTGGAGCTCTTTTGCGTTGGTGGGTAGATCTAGCTTATTGCGCTCGAGTGCTCGGTGTTGTGCGTTCGCCTCTCTGTCCCTCTGTGTGTGTGTGTGTTTGTTTGTGTGTGCGTGTGTGTGTGTGTGTGAGTCTTTTCCTACCACCGTCCCCCGATTCATGTTCAACGATATAACGTGAATTTCTGCTTGAGTTTGTGACCTTCTACTTCTAGAATTGCCTGTGTTGGTCTAATTGAAAACACGCCAAGTTGGTACCGTAGCTCTAGGTTAGATGCTCGTCCAATGAAATTAGTTGAGAACAAATTGACCCATTAGACACATATTATGTATAATGCTAAAGATAGTGTTGTTTTCAGACTTGACACCACTTCCACTCGGTGGCAATTGACAAAAAGTCAATTTTTATTAGGCCGGCAGTATTTCTCCGAACGTTCGGGAAAATAAAGCTGGGCACTATTTCTCCGAACACTCTGAAATCACAT